AATATTTCAACAATTAAACTATGACACCCAAAATACCGCTATCGTCACCAAGATTTATAGAATTTTTGACAGAAAAGTCAACAGCAGTTTGTTCAAATTGAAATTGCAATTTAAAAAAGTCAATTATAAACACTTATAATAACCTCCACCCCCTCGATCCACACTATGCTAAACAACCCACTAAAATTTCTCAATTAATATTGATTGATGGACATATACATTGAATAAACGACTGGCTGACAGAGAGACAAACATTAAAACCCAACAATTAATCATGAGGCACAGCTGTTTGTTGACAACGGAACGGACTACTTGACTGCATAATTGTCATATTTAACCAAACTTAAAGATAAGTTTGAAGAGATGTTTTCCCCCCATTCATTCATTCATTGAATAAAGTGGTTATTTTGTTGGCAGGCTGGTCTTGTGCTTGGTTTAGTGGACACTCAAACGCATTAAGTTCAATTAAAAAGAATGAGGAACTCAAGACAAAAAAATATTTTAAAATTTAACGATGGACAATGGTATGGTTGGACATGAACGTCTGATACTTTGGGTATCAATGACATTAACGACAACATCAAAAAAAAAAAAAAAACAAAACTACAATGTTTAAATGCAATATTTATTACATTGTTTGTTGTAAATGCAATTGATATTTGTACATTAGCAATTGTCATTGCAATTGCTGTCGCTGTTGTCTGTTGTTGATGTTTTTGCTATTATTGTAATTGTTGTCGGTTGTTAACATTAAATCGCAATTGTTGCATTTTAAACTTGTGTTTAATTGAATGGGGTCGATTTTGAGTGTATCCTACTATTGTTGTTGTTTCGAATGTAACTTTTGATTTTCATTTAGAATTGGGGTTGCTTTGTTAACAACACTTTAACAATTGAAAGACATAGTATATTATTCTATTAATTAAGCCAATGTTTAGTAAGACGTACAGCATTAAAACAAAAACCCGCAGTAATTAAAGTTAACTCTCATCATAACTTACTCCATTAAAAAATCAATAGGACAGGGTAATGCATCCCCCACAGTAAAATTTGTATTAGGAATTTCGACTTAGTCTGGACTATAGATCAATCTATAGTCTGGACTATTGATCAGTCTATAGTCTGGACTATTGACCAGTATATATTGTGGACTATAGATCAAATTATAGTCAGAACCAAATATCAGACTATAGTCTTGAATATAGATCAGTCCAGTCTCGCTTATAGATCAGTCTAAAGTCTGGACTATAGAGCAATCAATAGTCTGGACTATAGATCAGTCTATAGCCTGAACTATTAATCAATCTATAGCCTGAACTATAGATCAATCTTTGGTCTGGACTTTAGATCAGTCTATAGTCTGGACTATAGATCAGTCTATAGTATGGACTATAGATCAGTCTATAGTCAGAACAATAGATCAGTCAATAGTCTGGGCTATAGATCAGTATATAGTCGGGACTATAGATCAGTCTATAGTCTGGACTATAGATCAGTCTATAGTATGGACTATAGATCAGTCCATAGTCTGGACTATAGATCAGTCTATAGTCAGGACTATAAATCGATCTATAGTCAGGTCTATAGTCAGGACTATAGATCAATCTATAGTCAGCACTATAGATCAGTCTATAGTCTGGACTATAGATCAGTCTATAATCTTGACTATATATCAGTTTAGAGTCTGGAATATAGATCAGTCTATAGTCTAGACTAGATCAGTCTTTAGTCTGGACTAGAGCAGTCTATAGTCTGGACTATAGATCAGTCTACAGTCTGGACTATAAGTCAGTTTGTGGTCTGGACTATAGATCAGTCTATAGTCTGGACTATAGATCAGTCTATAGTCTGGACTATAGATCAGTCTATAGTCTGGACTATAGATCATTCTATAGTTTGGACTATAGATCAGTCTGTAGTCTGGACTATAAATCAGTTTATAGTCTGGACTATATAACAGTCTATATACTGGACTGTAGAACAGTCAATACTCTGCACTATAGATCAGTCTATAGTCTGGACTATATATCAGTTTAGAGTCTGGACTATCGATCTGTCTATAGTCTGGCCGATAGATCAGTCTAAGTTTGGACTTAGGATCGAACTATAGATCAATCTTTAGTATGAACTATAGATCAATCTATAGTCTTTACTATAGATCAGTCTTATAGTCTGGACTATAGATCAGTCTATAGTCTCGCTTATAGATTAGTCTATAGTCTCGCTTATAGATCAGTCTAAAGCCTGGACTATAGAGAAATCTATAGTCTGGACTATAGATCATTCTATAGGCTGGCCAATAGATAAGTCTAAGGCTGGACTTAGGATCGGACTGTAGTCTGAGCTATAGATCAGATACAGTCTGAACTATAGATCAATCTATAGTCTAAATTATAGAACAATCTATATACTCGACTATAGATAAATCTATAGTCTGCACTATAGATCAGTCTATAGTATTTGGCCTTAGGAGTAGTTTGAGATTAAGATTATAGATCGCTCTATAATCTGAACTATAGATCAGTCTATAGTCTGGACTATAGATCAGTCTATAGTCTGGACTATTGATCAGTCTATAGTTTGGACTAGATCAGTCTTTAGTCTGGACTAGATCATTCTATAGTCTGGACTATAGATCAGTCTACAGTGTGGACTATAGATCAGTCTACAGTCTGGACTATAGATCAGTCTAAGTTTGGACTTAGGATCGAACTATAGTTCAATCTTTAGTATGAACTTTAGATCAATCTATAGTCTGGACTATAGATCAGTCTAAAGCCTAAAGACTATAGAGAAATCTACAGTCTGGACTATAGATCGTTCTAACGTCTGGCCAATAGATAAGTCTAAGGCTGGACTTAGGATCGGACTGTAGTCTGAACTATAGATCAATCTATAGTCTGAAGTATAAATCAAACTATAGTCTGAACTATAGATCAATCTAATGTCTGAATTATAGAAAATATGTATATATACTCGACTATAGATAAATCTATATATAGTCTGTACTATAGATCAGTTTATAGCAGTCACGAGCAAAACTGAAATGCATAGGCCAAGAAATTCTGCTGACGCTTTGTTGACACACCTACACTATAAGCTTGTGTGTATTAGTGTGTCTGTGTTTTACTAAAATGACCACTTGTTTGTTGCTTTGTTACGATCTCAGAGATCAAAATCAAATCAGTTGCTGTTCAGCTTTTGTAGAAGCAAGATCACGTTGCGGATTTTTTTATGCTTATGATTTTTTCTCTTTTATTACACCTAGCAAAATGTTTGATATAAATAAGGAAAATGATTTCTTTTTTATAGAAAACATGGACGGTGAGGCACAATGCGTCGTATGTTATAAAATTATATGTAGAAAAGCTTTGAAAAGGCATTATGAAACTTGCCATGGACCCTTAAATGACCTTAGGGGACATGACAGAAAAGTAAAGTTGTTGCAATTAAAAGGTTAACCGATCAACACATTGGTGACTTATTGCGTATTAAGGAATATAAAGGAAACATTGATTTGGATAGATTAGTTGAACTTTAAATTAAGTTCAGTTAATATCTCGGTAATATCCCTTAAAAGTTCGAAATCGAATAGAAAGTCGTGATTTTCTTAATGATATTTCAGTAGTTTTATTTAATACTACTTTTTAAAAATACTACTACTTTTCTTAAATGAAAAACTCTTTCCCTTTATTCCATTTTTGTTTAAAATGCCCAAAAGTTCATGAGTTTTTCTCGTCGTAAAAAGTATTTGCAATAGAAAACAAATTTCAAAACTTTTCTCAGTGTACCACCATTTTGTTATAACGTGCAGTCATCTCTCTGCTGCTTAACGCACACAAATATACACATGGTGGTATGTGTTTGCCCATGACTGGTTTATAGCATTGAAAGGCAGAGAGTAAAAAATAGTTCTCTGACTGGTTTTGTTTGTTTTTTTTATACATGTGCGAGCATACGTATGCGTAAAAGTATGAGTACAAGAGAGCTCATTTGAGAGCTCACTGCGTTTCGCTGGTCTATAGTCTGCCCTATAATCAGTCTAAGTTTGGACTTAGGAGCAGTTTGAGATTAAGATTATAGATCACTCTATAATCTGAACTATAGAACAATCTATAGTCTGGAAAATGTATCAGTCTATAGTCTGAACTACTGACCAGTTTATAATCAGGAATACGGATCGATCTGTAAATCATTCTATCGTCTGGACTATAGATCAGTCTGAAGTCCGGACCATATAATATTCTACAGTCTGAAATGTAGATCACTGTATATAGAGTATAGAATAGTCTGTAGTCTGAACTGTACAGTCTGGACTATAGTTCAGACTATAATCTGAATTATGAATCAGTATATAATATGCACTCTCGATCAATATGTATAGTCTGGACCCTAGATCAGTATAGTCCAAATCAGTAAATAGTCTGGACTATAGAGCAGATTATAATATGGACTATAGATCTGTAAAGTTTTCAGTTTTAATTTTTACTAAACATCAATTACCGTTCAAAATGATCTACAAACCACAAATCCAGAGTATAGAATTAAAATATATTTTTTATAACTTTTGTAAACACAAAACAACTACGACTATTACGTTGACATGGTGTAGGGTAAACAAAATGAATGTAAAATTCTCTTTAATTTGTAATCCTTATTATTGACACAAATAATAAATAAAATGTAAACTGAAAACATTGTCACTTTGCAATAAAATTTACATTTGTTTCGCATACAAAATTATTGAAATTAAAAATTAACCAGACATAAGCATTTGGGCAGACAGACAGAAGACACAAATGTCCAATAAAAAAACACAAACTGATGGGTAATTTTTATGAAGTGACACCTTATACTTTCAGCACCATCAAATTAAATTATTTTATTTTTTTCAATTTAATTTTGATATAAAAAAACACAATAAAATCAATTTCATTTTGTAGAATTTAATTGCTTTTAATTTGCTTAACAATTGCAATTGTTATAATTTATTTAAATACCCGTTAAGTAATTAATTTTTTAATTTAATTTTTCCAATTCTATTTTCAAACTACACAGTACACAGTACACAAAAACAATAACAATACAAACACTCGTCTCGCACACTGTTTTTATTTTTTGTTTCGTTTTACGCGCAAAAACTCGTTAACGTGACAAAAATCGCTCGCAAAATCTTATAGACTGACTGACAGCGAAACTAAATGATGCTGCAAGAGTGTATTTGAAAATATTGAACAAAAAAGATCTGATCAAAATATAATAACAACAAAACAAAAACATTTAACAGTTTTCTTCTTATACTCAATTTCAATAGCATTGACTCAATTATTGTCATACTCTCTCATATAATTACACTCATTTATCATTGTGAATTTATGTTGTACAGTGTTTTATACTCAAAATTGTGTAGGGAAAAACGAGATACTTAAAGAAATTAATATCGATCGCCTAGAAAATTATCTATGATTATTGTTTAATATGCTTCATCTTGGGTCCCAAGCCAATGGGCTACCAATGACTTACAATTTGTATACTAAAAGAGACTAACGTTTGGTCTAAGATAGGATTTATTATCATAAATCTAAAACTTTAGGGATCTTCTGATCGTACAATCATGGTGACCAACCTATGACACATCTAGTCCTATGCTTCTATATAATATAATCTTTCATAACAATCATATTTTGTAGCGTTCATTAACGAACGTTTTTTATCATTATAGCGGTCACCTAACCTACTAATCTGCTTATTTGATCGATGTGTTAGGTGAAGTTGACTTTTACGTCAGCAGTCCTTTGTAAAATATTGGCAGGTAAATGAGAGAAAGTGTGCTAGTGACCAATCAGGTCTAATACTCCGATTCTCTAAGATCATTCTTGCCAAGAAGAAATTCATTCTGTTGCAAGAAGAAATTTGATATTATTCAGCTAAAGAGCTCGCTTTTAATAGTGATAACCTAAAAAATAGATTAATAATGATAGTGATCCCAAATAACTTCTAACTCTGCCCATTGATATATCTGAATTTGATCGTTGTTCTAGGTGACGTCGGTCTAGCGGACGTTTACGCTTTATGCTTACTTTCTCTAACATCATTTATGCAATTATCCTTCGCGATAATCGGGGCAGCTTTCTGAAATCCTACGTCCACCTTGTCCTTATCTTTAAACTCAGACCAGACGTAATTGATGATCACACGGTCCAACAAAACTTACAAAAATGTTAAAACCAAGAGACCGGAGTGTACATTTTTAAATGATTAGGCGGCGCAGAATCTAAATCTGCCCTAAGAATTTCTTCATCACATCAGGTTTTCGAGGTAGCTCTCGCATTTGACCCACTAGACAATTTGTGTCGATAAACTGATGAAGAGACCGGAGTGTACATTTTTAAACGATTTGGCGGCGCAGAATCTAAATCTGCCCTAAGAATTTCTTCATCACATCAGGTTTTCGAGGTAGCTTTCGCATTTGACCCACTAGACAATTTCTGTGGATAAACTGATGAATGATGATGAACCAAAAACGGCAATATTTCTGGAAAATATCAATAACAAAGTAAACCAATATTTGACTTGTCAAAATAATATGACATCAGTGTCTCAATAACTAATTACGTGGAAACAACATGGTAGCCAGAGAACGTCATAATCGCCCAGATCTATGTCCAGAAAACATTATATTCTAATTAGGAATTTCAGTCGTATTTCAGGTCTGAATTGGGGAACAACTCTCGCGTCATCCCCATTATTTCTTAAGGACGATCCAGCATGTGTTTGTTACCAAGCTTTCGACTGAATTGCGTCTCACTGGCATCAATAACTGTTTTCAAGTTTTACTTATCTCATTTGAGGATATGTTTGATTAAATTGTTAGAGACCATATAATACTTTTGATTCGAATCGGGTTGCATAGTAACGCAAGCCTAGTAAAAAAAACAGATACTCTTAGGAGAACTTAGGTCTCAACATTTGATGCTTTACAAAGCTTTCCAAACATCGTTTTTGAAAACAATTCCTTATCAGATTTTCAGCAATTTATCAAAGTCCGAATAGGTTCTAGATCGGAGATGGTTAAATAAAATAAAATAAAAAATTGAATCCTATTAGAAGGCAATCCAACTATGACGAATTTTTTGATTTTCGTCCAACAATTTAAACTATTGGCACGAATCTTAAGAAAGAGGAAGAGATATCTTGATTTACACACCTCAGTTTGAATATATTTTTTGAATTTTACAATTTCCCTATGAAAAAACTTTAAAATTTTTAAATTCACTGTCTTGAGTAGTTTCTTAAAACAATTATTACTCAAACTATGTATATTGCTCACTACTCTCTCATTAAACTCAAGTGAATGAGTGAGTGCAATCAGCTGTTATTGTTGTTATTAATAATGTAAACAAAAACAAATCTAAAGAACTGTTGAATAGTTGTTGTTCTTTTAAATCACACAAAAGTATGTTAATCAAGTGTAAGGGATACAAAGAGATAGAGAACTTATTTGACACACTTATTTGTGTTTTTATTATTAAAACAAAAAGAAAAACAAAAGAGATTTCAGCAAAAAACACATGTTATTTTAGCTGAAAATGTAATAAAGCAAAAATAACAATCATATGTTTACTATAGAATTTGTTGTTGAACATCTTAAGCATGAGCATGGATGTTGTCGTAAATACTCAGCAGACCAATCAGGGATGGAAAAATTGGTACGATGGTACTTTTTTTTATACTATTTGATGTTCCAAAGTACGGTGATACTCCCGAGTCTTACTTGATACTCTCAGGGCCACAATCTCAATATCCGATTATCGTTTAACCGGTAGACAATGTGCCGGTTAAAATAATTTTTGTATGAAAATTATAAATATTTCATTTCGATAAAAAATAATAATACATACATTGAGAAATGGGGGTCAAAGTATCTTTAAAATTTCAAATATTTATTCAAATTTAAAATTCCACGAATGTTTTGGCACATGTTAACATAAAATTCTCAAAAATGCATCCACTATAACTTCTGGAAAAAACGGCTAAAAAGTTATAGAGTAATGGAATTCTCTTCAATATTACCAGAAGTAAAGAGATCTAGTTTTAAAAAATTTGTATCTTGATTGACATTATATGAATATTATTAATCTAATTTAAATTCCATTGATAATATTTTATGAGAAAATTACCAGAAATTTCAATTTTGGAAAAATAGTTGACTTTGAATGATTTCCAAAAGATATAAACTCGAATTTAATTTCAATTTCTATCTAATATAAAGCAATATATTTTGAAATTAAGCATTTAATATAATAAAAGAAGTTTTTGGTAAAAAATATTTGGATATTTGGAAAGCAAATTATTGTTTCATGTCATATTCAGAATCAGATGTACGAACAAATATTCTATGTGAAGTCTCATGGCATGGAGCGCAATGAACACCTACGTCGGATTTTAGTTTAATAAAAAGGGCCAAAGGTGGCCTGATATTAATTAAGACCGGATTTATTAAAATACAACAAACTGTATAATAACTGCTTTAACAAAGTTGCTATGGACAAGAAATTACATAGCAAATTTCATCAAACTGTATCTAAAAGGTTAACATTGAGGGACGAACACAGATTCATCATATTAACATATAATGACATTTCTACTTCCGTTGCGGATTATTTTAAAATGTCTAAATATATTGTATTTAAGAAGTTGCAAAATTTTTGCGAAAAAATTATTTTAGTACTCTCTGATCCAAAAAAGTACCCTCTGAAATATTTGTTGATACTGAAACAAAATCTCACTTTCCATCCCTGAGACCAATGAATAAACATGGGGGTGTTGTACTCTTTTTCTGCCTTACACAGATGAGAGGAATTTAAACCTAAAATGATATAGTTTTTGTAGTTATTTTTATTGGATTAGTAGGAATATATAGAAACGACTATCGAATGGTTATGTCCGTCTGTCTTGTTTGATTTCAATGTGCTACTGATGCTGCTACAGATGTTCTCGTCGTCGTCGTAGTTCTTAGTTGTTTTTAATGTTAATGATGAATCATTTGACTTTGACTAAATTTAGAATGCAACAACACATTTATGACAAACACTTTGTACTGACAACCATAAAAACAGGGAGAAAGAGAGTGACATGGGGTGACAGCAGCAAATAAATAAAACAACACAAAAATAAACAACAAAATGTGATGAGAAAAACTACAATAACAAATCGGCTTGCAATTGCAGCGGCAGGCGTTAAACTGCAAGGAAATAAGTTGAAATAAGTGGGAGACTAACTCAAGGTCAATAAAAATATATATTAGGGTCAATATCATCACAAATTCTTTATAAATATATAAAATGTAATTTCAAAAATTTGCTTATTGGTAAGTTAAGTTACCAAGTTTGCCGTCTGTCGCTTGCATTATGTTTAGCTTCTCAAAAACTAAACCGTGTTCTATTCATATGTGCCATTTTTGCAGTCCACTATGTGGAACTGCGTAAATTTTGTACATTATAAATGTGTTTTTTTATTTACTCTATTTGCAAGGCATAAATCATCAATTTAAGTTTTATTCTGTATAACATGAATGAGTAAAATTTCGCTTTTTGTACGAAAAAAACTGAAATAATTTTTAAAAACACTTTTTAAAAAGCCGCACGAAAAAAATAATGAAAAATGGACGAAGGTCATTAAAAGTAAATGTGACATTTTATAGTGTCAACGTTTTATTTCACTTTCAACCGGTTGAATTGAATGATCGTTGATGTTACGTTGAGGTAAGAATTATAAATTTGAAATGATATGAGTAGTAAAAGAGGGGTTACAATTCGGATTGTTTATAAATGAACTGATGTACAATGTTTTACGAATCATACGAAACTTTGCCTTATAGTATAAGTGAAGTAATCACACAAAACACGTTACCACGACAATTAGATCTTCACTCCCGAAAGAACCGAGGCATACTCGGCCAAAGATTGTCAGCCCATCGATAGCTGTATCAACCGAGAATTACTATTGGTCACAGTCAGAATGTTTCAACAAAAATAATACAAACGGTTAATTCAATTTTCGGACAAGTTACAAAAAACAAATTTAACAGATTCTCTGAAGAATTAAGAATTATGAAGGACTAGTCTAACTTTAACAAATGGTTTGAATCATTATTATGCTGAAAATCACATCGAGATATAATGATC